TACGGAAAGAACCGGACGGTACCGTGGGCTGGCACTGGAATCACTTCTTACTACGATGTTAAATATTATTCCAGCGACACTTCCTCTACCACACAGAAGGATTTATCATCACGATATCCAAAAAAGTTTGTTTTGAAAAATGTTAAAATTCCCACAATGCAGGTCTCGCGTTCCGCCACAAGAGGGCAGTGCGCCCGTGCATTGAGAGAATCCGATGAAAGGGCAATTTATAGGCCAGAGATAAAGTGATGTGATCAGCAGTGATTTATGTGAAGACATTACAGGGGAGATCGTGTAACAAGTCTCTTCTTCATGCATCGCCGTGCCGGGGAGAAGTACATATCTGCATAGAATTCACCACAGGCTGTAAATCAGAACCCGCCATAGGAGGAGTAACAATCCAAAACCAGAGAAATTACATCTTACTGGCACTTATTTCTGGCTTCTAGTGACAATTCCATCGTTTCTGATTTCGGGAATACATTAACCAGTTGACATCCGCGGTGTTAAACCCCCTTCCCATCCAGGCCATTTTTCAGTATTCAGCGCTGCGGTACTTTGACTGACATTTATTCCGTCATGCAGCGCTGTACTGAAATGAATTTTATACCCTTTTTTGGGGACAGATAGAGCTTTCTTTTGGTGGTATTTATTCACCACTGGGGGTTTTATTTTTTAATATATTAGGGAAAAACTACAGATTTTTTTTTTAAAAAACAGTTCCCCCTATATTAAATTCTAAAACATTTATTATTACCAAATTTTTGGGTAAAATATAAAAGACGGGCTCACGTCGGGTAAAGAGACACCAAACATGTCAAGCCTTAAAATTGCGCATGCGCGCGAAACCTCAAAAAAACTACATTACCCAAAATTGGCCATAGGCGACGCATTAAAAGCTTTTACCGCTCATCAGTTTAGTGTTATCAGTGATTGATGGCCCCAAAATGATTGCTCTCATCGCTCCGAAATGCTATAGAGCCGCTGATCGGTTGTATGTGAAACAGCCGTTAACGGCTGTAGTAACGAGCGGGTCTTTCCTGCCCGGGGGCGCGCGCGAGCAGGAAAAAAATGCCGTCGGATGCGGGTCTGCCGTCCGTCCGTTTTTTCTTAAGGGGCGGACAGCAAGAGGTTAAACACGGAGATGATCAGAGAATGTCTCTTTGGTTTTTTATTTTTAAAGGACCAATTCACCAATTCCAGATACTGGCGGGTCGGGTCCTGGTCTCTTATACCTCTGGGGGACTCCTGTGGATGGATCTCCCTGCCGGAGTCTATGGATCTGTTCCTGCTCAGTTTGGAGATTCTGAATATCATTACTATTTTTTTTTTGGGGGGGAAGTCCTTCTGTTACATTCCTGATCACATAAAATAAATTAAATCTTCAACAGTGAGGCTTCGGCAATGACCACAGTTGGTGTGAAGACCCTGGAACTTCCTGAGGTCCCCAAGAGATGCATCAAACCATTATGCTGTTCAACAACCTACAAAGCACTCTGAAGTCCAAATTCTGCTGCACTACGGAATCTGGCAAAATTTGTAGTCAGATGGAGCCAGTCTCATTTCCAGGCTGGAGGACATTCAGCATCATCTAGCTCTTTCCTGCCCCAGCCGGACTGTCTCTGGCCAGCCCCTTTTTCATTTATTGGACCCCTTCTCATAGAGAAACCCTTCCCACAGAAGGCCACTTCTCATAGAAGACCCCTTCCCACAGAGGCCCAATTCTCATAGAGAACCCCTTGCCACAATGGGCCACTTTTCATAGAGCACCACTTTCCATAGGAGGACAAATTCTCATAGAAGACCCTTTTTCAAAGAACCCTTTCCCACAACGGGCAACTTCTGATAGAGCACCCCTTCTCATAGAGCACCCTTCCCATAGAGGCCCAATTCTCAGAGGACACCTTCCCCCAATCGGCCACTTCTCATAGAGGACACCTTCTCAAAGAGGACCCCTCTTCATAGAGGACCCTTTCCACCAGAGGGCCACTTCTCACAGAGGACGCCTTCTCACAGAAGACGCCTTCTCAAAGAGGACGCCTTCTCAAAGAGGACACCTTCTCAAAGAGGACACCTTCTCAAAGAGGACACCTTCTCAAAGAGGACACCTTCTCAAAGAGGACACCTTCTCATAGAGCACCCCCTACCATAGAGGCCCAATTCTCAGGAGGACCCCTTCCCACAGAGGACTACTTCTCAAAGAGAACCCCTTCCCACAATGGGCCATTTCTCATAGAGCGCCCCTTCTCATGGAAAGCCCGTTCTCATGGGAGGATGCCTTCTCATAGAGAACCCCTTCTCATAGAACACTTTTTCCCACAGAGGGCCACTTCTCATAGAGGACCCCTTCCACCAGAGGGCCACTTCTCATAGAAGACCCCTTTCCACAGATGCCCCATTCTCATAAGGATGCCTTCTCATAGAGAACCCCTTAAGGACTTGTGGCTTGAGCAAATCCTTCATGAGTTAGCATATAAGATGTTTTGAGGAGGTCCTACACCGTGACTCCCCAGGGTTGGACCTTCTGTGAAGATGCTCAGTCTCTGCACACTTACTATGCCTGACCTCTATGGCCACACCCCTCTAATTTCTACATTTTACTCTATTTTATAACTTCTCTCTTTTAAAACAAACATAAAGAACTGTTCAGAGTGAGAAGAGTTTGTGGTTTCCCTTAACATCTCTCAGGGTCCATTACTAGAGCCTGATTGACTGCGTTAAAACTGAACTCTGGGATTCCTTCAAAATCTCCAACTTTCCAACCAATCCCCGAGCACCACAAATACGTCTTTCTTTATTCCTCACTCACTTACTTTTGCCGAAACTGAGCTTTTAAAATTCCATGAGGTCATCATTGCTGCTGACACACTTCAGGAATATCCGGCCGGTGGGAGAAGATATCACTGAGGTGTCCAACCTTACATCCCAACCCTGCTCCGGGCGCCTCTGTGAACTACAACCCCCATCATTCTTGGAGACTTTTACCACATATGTTTTAGTTTACTATATTTAACATTTTCCAGTTAACATACAAACGCAACTACAGTATGTCAATGAGGAGACATCGAACATTGAGGGTCCAATATCTGGATTACCAATATCTTTCCTCTACCATATATCAGTATTTGAGGTTGAATAAAGTCACAGGTCCATCAAGTTCAACCTATTGCATGTATGTATGCGATTCTGCATGTGTAGGAGTCCCCGTGTGATCTTGTTCTTAAGGGTACCTGTGCCCCTGTATGTTGCGGTCTCTGATGAAGGTATCTAAATGCTTTTTGTATGATTCCACACTCTCAGCTGATACCACTGCTTGTGGCAGTGAGTTCCAGACCCTAACCGCTCTAACTGAGAAGAATCCCCTCCGCCCCTTGTGGCTAAATCTTTTCTCCACCAGTTTTAGGTGGTGGCCTCTAGTCTTGGTTATGGAGTTCAATGTAAAACGTTTATTGCTGATGTTGCCATCACCACCAAAACATCTTGTACATCAGAATCATGTCCCCTCTTAATCTCCTCACTTCCAGCGTGAACAAGTTTAAGTGTAGTAGCCGTGTCTCATAGCTCTGGTCCTCCATCCCCTTAATTAGTTTAGTTGCCCTTCTCTGGACTCTCTCCAGCTCCAGGACATCCTTTCTGTGAATTGGTGACCAAAACTGGACCACGTACTCCCAATAAGGCCAAACCAGCAATCTATAAAGTGGCAAAATGATTGCTTTGTCTCCACAGTACATTCCCTTTATAATACGAGACAGAACTCTGCTTGCTGTGTGTGCCGCAGCCTGGCATTGTGTGCCGCAGCCTGGCATTGTGTGCCGCAGCCTGGCATTGTGTGCCGCAGCCTGGCATTGTGTGAGGTTATTCAATCTGTGGTCTACAATGACCCCCAAATCTTTTTCCATTTCTGACTTCCCTAGTGGAGTTCCCATTAATGCGTATTCCTCTTGCCTGATAGTCACCCCAAAATGCATTACTTTACATTCATCAACATTAAAAGGAGAACTATGAGGGGAGTGATTTCCACTCACCTCATAGTTCTAGCCGACCTGTGACAATGAGACTGTCTCAGGTCGGCTCAGTAGATCGGGAGGTGAGCGAACACATACCGGCGTTCACTCACCTCTCGATCCTGCCATGGCTCTCTGCCGTGACAGGGGAGGGGCTGGATTCCCCTCTCCCCCGCTCCGGTCTGCCAGCTCTGACTGGTGGAACGGACGGGTACTGCTGTCATTCACGCAGCTGGGCGGATCTCGACATCGATGTCGGGATCTGCTCAGGCTGCGGCGTCTCAGTATACCGCGAGCTGTAGCTCTCTATATACTGAGCTTAGGGTGACGGGAGGACGCTAGTTTGTGTCCTCCCGTTACCCTAAGGAGAACTATGGGGAAAAGCCCTGACCCCATAGTTCTCCTTTAAACCTCATCTGCCAAATAGTTGCCCCTCCCCCTCTTTTATCCAGGTCCTCCTGTAATGTTATAGTGTCTAAGTCCGTGTCTATTACCCTCCTGATTATAGTATCATCAGCAAATAAAGAAACATGGCTATTCACTCCCTCCCCCGATATCATTAATAAACAGGTTACACAGTAATGGGGCCTAGCACAGAACCCTGAGGCCTAGCACAGAACCCTGAGGCCTAGCACAGAACCCTGGGGCCTAGCACAGAACCCTGAGGCACGCCACTCTCAGCCTTAGCCCAATCTGAAAAAGAACCATTGATCAAAACTCTCTGGACACGTTGCTGCACCGAGTGAAAGCTGCGTGACCACTGAAGGTCGGACATTGTAAAGCCCTTTACACTGGAGCCGGTACACTGGGAGCCTTCCTGTGCCCATAGCTGGGTTCCTTGTGAACACCGGAGGGAGAAATATATGAAATTCACAGACCGGAGCCTGTTCCTGACTGAGAGGCGGAGCTTGAAGTTGTGGCAGGAGCTTAACGACCAGGAAAGGGGGGGGGAGGGGAAAAGGGGGGGGGGATGTGGGAGAAGAAAAGGGGACTTACGTGAATCTTCCCAGCGCAGGAGGTGGAGCTTCCAGGCGGAGTAGTAGAGAAAGCCCAGTACCAGGAAGAGGCAGAGAGCCAGCAGCAAGTTCCTCATGAACACCAGAACTCCCATCTTCATAGCATTCCCGCGTTCCTACATGACCTGCATCAGAGAGAGAGATAATGACTGAGCGGCCAACACAAGACATCACAGAACATGCACAGCAAATACGTTCCTCTGTAGGACAGAAATCTATATAGGGCACAGCCAGATCATCCGCAACGCATGCTGGGGGGAAGCGGAGGGCCCAGTGGTTGCCCACAAGGCCCGGCTACCACCTTCATGCTCTTCTAGTAAACCAGGGGAATTGGTCAATGCCGTGCACCCCGCCTGTGGCTGCAGGAGGAGGGGATGGACTTGCAGGGCCATACAGTACAGACAATGCCGATGGAAACTTCTCAGTGCCTACTACAACCCTCATCAATGTCAATGGAACAAATGAATGGGGGGGGGGGACCGCTGGACCATCACACCTATATAAGCTTGTTGGAAATTCCATACCAATACCATGGAAATTAATATGGATGTCCCAACTATAACAGCCTCCACTCTTCTGGGAAGGCTTTTCACAAGAGTTTGGGTTGTGTGGATTTGGTAATTTGTGCTCTTTGTGAGGTCAGGTACTGATGATGGATGAGGAGAACTTGTGGAAGAAGAGTCACCAGTACTACAAGCATCCTCCCCGGCTGTCACTACAAGCATCCTCCCTGGCTGTCACTACAAGCACACTCCCCGGCTGTCACTACAAGCCCCCTCCCCGGCTGTCACTACAAGCACACTCCCCGGCTGTCACTACAAGCCCCCTCCCCGGCTGTCACTACAAGCACACTCCCCGGCTGTCACTACAAGCCCCCTCCCCGGCTGTCACTACAAGCACACTCCCCGGCTGTCACTACAAGCCCCCTCCCCGGCTGTCACTACAAGCACACTCCCCGGCTGTCACTACAAGCCCCCTCCCCGGCTGTCACTACAAGCACACTCCCCGGCTGTCACTACAAGCCCCCTCCCCGGCTGTCACTACAAGCACACTCCCCGGCTGTCACTACAAGCCCCCTCCCCGGCTGTCACTACAAGCACACTCCCCGGCTGTCACTACAAGCCCCCTCCCCGGCTGTCACTACAAGCACACTCCCCGGCTGTCACTACAAGCCCCCTCCCCGGCTGTCACTACAAGCACACTCCCCGGCTGTCACTACAAGCCCCCTCCCCGGCTGTCACTACAAGCACACTCCCCGGCTGTCACTACAAGCCCCCTCCCCGGCTGTCACTACAAGCACACTCCCCGGCTGTCACTACAAGCCCCCTCCCCGGCTGTCACTACAAGCACACTCCCCGGCTGTCACTACAAGCCCCCTCCCCGGCTGTCACTACAAGCACACTCCCCGGCTGTCACTACAAGCCCCCTCCCCGGCTGTCACTACAAGCACACTCCCCGGCTGTCACTACAAGCCCCCTCCCCGGCTGTCACTACAAGCACACTCCCCGGCTGTCACTACAAGCCCCCTCCCCGGCTGTCACTACAAGCACACTCCCCGGCTGTCACTACAAGCCCCCTCCCCGGCTGTCACTACAAGCACACTCCCCGGCTGTCACTACAAGCCCCCTCCCCGGCTGTCACTACAAGCACACTCCCCGGCTGTCACTACAAGCCCCCTCCCCGGCTGTCACTACAAGCACACTCCCCGGCTGTCACTACAAGCCCCCTCCCCGGCTGTCACTACAAGCACACTCCCCGGCTGTCACTACAAGCCCCCTCCCCGGCTGTCACTACAAGCACACTCCCCGGCTGTCACTACAAGCCCCCTCCCCGGCTGTCACTACAAGCATCCTCCCTGGCTGTCACTACAAGCACCCTCCCTGGCTGTCACTAGAAGCACATTTCTTTCTTTCTCCATCTTTCTCTCTCTCTGTTATTCATAAAGCACCCAGGAAATCTCCCGCCCCCTTCATTCTCAGTGAAAGGTTGGATGGTTGGATGGATGGAGACACTCGGTTGGTTTAGTTTGTAGGAAAGCTATCAGCGCTGGCTTCGGTGGAGTCCATGACACTCTGACCCCTCTGTGCGCCGAGTACCACCACACAATGATCATTTCCAGGTTTGTACCGGTTATCATTGTAAATGGAGTCGTCACTCGCTGTTTGGTGTCACCGGTGACCACACTGAACATGGAGCAGAGGAAGCAGAGAGACGTCTGAGGAGATCAGAAGGAAGATTGTAGAGCAGAATGTGAAAGGTGAAGACTACGAGCAGACTGACGTCCCCGTGACTACAGAATACAAAAGTTTAAGGTCCATGAGAGTGTAGACAACCCTCCTGAAGAAGGCCGCGGGAGGACAATCCACCCAACACCGAAGAGAAGGAGAGTGTGAATGGAAGACGAAGAGCCGAGGAGAACTTCCACAGAGCTACAAGATGGACTCCAAGGTCCAAGTACAATTGCTAAGATACATGTTGACGAGTCACAAATCTTCTGGGAGAATGTCCTTTGGAAAGATGAGACAGAACCGGAGCTTTCCGGCCAATCACATCAGCTCTATGTTCAGTTGTTTCAGACTAGTTGGCCATCATCAGTGCAGTGTATGGAGACCACAACTTCTATGGAGGAGGACTGAGGACCCAATGACACGATGTAACTATACAGGTGATGATGATATGGTCTGCCTGTAGCACGGGACATATTGCTAGTCCATATCTCGGTGAGTTACAATGTAGCGCGCGGTCTTCGGTGAAAGAAAAACAAATGACAAACGCACTCATCAATCTGTCACCAGCTATACAGCGCGGTGCACAAGGAAGGGCTTTATACAGTACAACAGCAAAAGGTTTTCACAGCGCACTCACCAGCCGGCATGCAAAAAAAAAACTTGTCTCACCGCTAAGGTTAAACACAGAGGTTTTAGATACACGTCTTCTGCAGAAAATATGAAAGCCGCACAGCCGCGCCAAGGCACCTCTTATAGTGCGGCCCTAACTCTAACCTATGAGAGTCTCCATCTTGGAGCACATGGGTCATAAGATCAAATTGGGTGAAGGTTTGTCAGGAGGAAGCCCAACCCCCTTAAAAAGGCACAGAGACGCACAAGGGACCCC